ATTACAGCGAGAGGTACGTACGTTGCACATTTGGCAAAGATTGTGTAAATTTTAACGCGTTAATAACGATCGAAATGCGAAGCTAATCCTCGAAGAAGGATAAAAAATTGTCGGGAACGTAGTATGGAAAAGTGCAGGGATAAAAATATCCAAGGGAAGTACACGTGGAAAAGCAAGAAGCCAGAAACCAAAGCAACGGCACCGACAAATCATTTCCCTGGCCGACGACGAATATCCAGCGTAATCCAAGAAGGACGAGGTTTCCAACGACCCGTCGAAAAGCGTATGAAACTTTCCGTGCTCCGATAAATCAAGCACGCTCCTCCCTCGCGGACGCTCACGCTCCTATATACAGAGGGTTGAAGTACACGAGCACGAAAGTAAAAACGAAAATAGGAAGGAAAATAAAAAGGAGGATTAAAACACACGTCGAGTGGCAACGAGAAAGAAGCTTCGAGGGGGGAAAGAGTCGAAGGAAGAGAAGAAGAAGAAGAAGAAGAAGAAGAATACGACGACGAAGGAGAAGAGGGAGGAGGGTTGCGGACAAGAGGAAGAGGATCCCAGAAACAGGCGTGCAGGCTGCGAAGGAACGGGACAAGGAGGAACGAGCCCGCATGTGACATTCGAGACACTCGTCCGGCCTTTCTTCCTCGAACGCCCTTCGAAAGCCGAAGGAAGAAGCGAGAGAAAGATAGAAAAAGGGAGATTGAATCGTCTCCATCTCGGGCCAGCTGGTGCACACCTCTTCTTCCCTCTCGCTTAATCCCTTTGCAGCGTTCGCTGCTCACGACGTCGACGACGACAACGACAACGACGAAGCACGGCTTTGGTCCTGTTCGTCCTTCGGCCCTGGCGTACCGTATTGTGGACTTTTCTCAAAGAGGACAAAAGGATTCGCTCGGCACGAATAGCACCGTGCCCATCCAGAGCACGTGTGCTGGCTGCTGGCCAGTTAGGGGAAAATGCTGGTCAAAGGGACGCCGAAAGAGACCAATTAAACGTCCACGCCAGAGAATACAAGAGTTCCAGAGGGTTTGATGAGATTTTAGTAAATAAGTCGGAGAGAGACTGGTAAAGAGGCTGATGGCTGCCTTTGTAGACACTCTACGTCCACGACAAGAGTGTTTTCGGCTTCTGTGGGAACTCGCGATCAAATATTTTTGTTAGGTCTTGCCTACCTTTTTTCTCCTCTTAAGAATATTAGATAAACTAAACGTTTCCTCGATTCGAGTGGATGATATCTCGGGGTTTGTCGTCGACTGAATTTTTCCTAAATTTCAAACTACGTCGCGATGATTCTTCGTTGCACCGTTATCGACATCTTATTGGTATCGTCGACGTATTTAAATCGAGCTGGGGCACGAACGCGATCGAAAAATGGATTTTACTTGTCGAAGGGACACGTGGAAAGAGCGATAATATTTCTAGATCTAATCTTGATTATCAGTTGAATTTTTGTCCAATTTAATTCCACGTCGTAATGATTTTTCGTCAGAACGTTGTCAAAATTTGATTAACACTATCGAGGTATTTCAAGCAAGCCAAAGGACGATCGTGACGCATATTTCGCTGGAAAATGGATTTTACTTGTCGAAGAGACACGTGGAAAGAGCGATAATATTTCTAGATCTAATCTTGATTATCAGTTGAATTTTTGTGCAATTTAATTCCACGTCGTAACGATTGTTCGTCGGAACGTTATCAGAATTCTACCGAAATTATCGACGTATTTAAATCGAAGTAAAGAACGATCGCGATCAAAGGACAAGGAATTAGCCAGGTACTTCGCTCGAAAGTAGATTTTTACGTTAAAACACACGGAAAGAACAGATATACGGTAATGGTCTCTCCGTAGTCGGATTAACAGCTGCAATTACAGCTTGTTCTTCGTTCTCTGACTCTCTATCCCTCTGGGGGCAAGGATCTCGCAGTTGCTCTTTGATCTTCGTACTTATCGCGGTTACATCGTTGGTGCGCTGGTTTACGCGTTTCACGTAAACACTCCAAGTAGCCGACGAGGGATTGTTATGGGAAAAAGTGGCTACCAAGAGATTCCCTTCCCGAAACCGGAAGTACCTTCATCAGTAGCCTCTCTCGATGTATCGACGATCGGGTGAATTAACTTTAACGAATAATAATAGTTTCACCTGTAATAATTGATTTTTCAAACGTTCAAAACATGTAGCTTGCTTTCGTCAATATTCTACTCATTTTTTTCTATCTAAACTGGAGTTCTGGAAATTACTTTTCCTTTTTTCTTTTCTTTTCTTCTGTATTTTTTTTTTTTTTTTTTTTCTTTTTTTTTTTTTTTTTTTTTTTTTGAAAAAACATGAAATATTCTACGCGGACAATGGAGGTTCGAAAGGAAGCTTTTATGCGGTTATGAAATAAATAGAGAAAAAGGAAAGAGCTGGAAAAGACGGCAGAAACGCGGTAATTGGTCCGCTACGACGACGGCCCCATTAGGCATGTTTTTTCAGTCAGGGATAATATTTTGACGCGACGATCGTGCCACCCTATCCAAACAAGAATATTCGACGGTCAAGCGGCAGCAATAACATCTCATTTGCAAACAAGCGCTTTTCATGCTGGCCGGTTCGTCGTGTCGTTCCGCTTTCGAAAAATTTGACACCCTTTCCACGGCACCTGGAAACCAGAACGAAGAAAACCGAGGGTCTTCCCTTGCTGAGAATCTTAAATAACCACGAAGGTCTATTTGGTCGAAGAGGAAAAATCTCGCAAGATTTCCAGATGAATCTTTATTTTTTTCATTTTTTCATAATCGTCTTCGTCCCAAGGCAAACATAAATTTTCCAAAATCTACGACGTTTCTCCTGGACCAGGTTGTTTGTAAAAACGAAAAAAAGAAGACAGAAACGTTGCAATTAGCGGAAAGAAACCCGAGCCATCTTTGAAATCTCCAACATCTCTAGAGTACCGTTCCCCGTCTTTTCAAAATTCCATAGCTTCTAATATCTGAGAAACACGCGTTTATCCACGGCATACAGAGGCATATTAAGAGCCTGTCGGAAAAAGCAGAGAAAATAAATTCCATCCAGCTAGGAAATAACTGTCTGTCGGGGCATTAGCGAGAACTTCAAACGTTCGTCTAGAAACCGCCCGAAAAGCAAACAATCAACGCAGATACGAATCTCAGCGTGCTCTAAAACTCTATAAGCTCTTCTCTTAATATGTGGAAGCATCTAATGGCTAAGCAGAAACTAATATTAGCCTCATATTTGTGGCTTATAAGTCCATAGGTATACCGTGTTCTCATTTACGAGTCTGCTGGATATTTATATCGTTTTATAGTCACGAGATAAAATAAAGAAATCGTCGATTTAACGAAACTTTGCTATCGCGAACGTTGCGTTTCAAACGAATAAGCGTTCGACGTAACTTACGACAAAACACGGTACGTCTATTAGATTATCCTAGGAAAGAAAGCGTCTTTCTTTCGCAAACGTGTTTTTTACAACGGTGCACCTTCGTACAAACGTGAAACCGAGTCTGTGAAATGTCGCGGTGTTTATCTAAACGGAACAAAATGGTACGTAATTCGACGAAACAATATACAACAAGAAACAACCTAATATCTCGAGCTTCCATCGTCATTTTCTCATCGTTCTGATTCACCTAGAAGGAAAAACCAAGCTGATAAACTAAGACGCACAAGTAATCGCGCGATCGTTCACGAAGAACGACACGCAACAGCTCGGATCGTATCGTTTAACTTTGTACTAGGCGTCTTATTTCGCGACTCTATGTTTTACCATGCGATAGAAACTATCGATGATTTATGGGAACGCGTAAGGTATAAAAGGCAAATTAAGTCGAATACGAATGGCCTGCGTATTAATACTTTGATTGGGTCATTGGTAACCGGAGCGCTTCAACTTCTTACAATTGTAACAAATTTATTCTATATTCAATTTTATTCTAAGTTTATTCTATATTTTCGACTTCTTTTTTCGCGTAGAATCACCCCCTTTCCGCTTGTACCACCAGTTACCAACCACCCTGTATAATACGAATACTCTAAGATTATCGTAGTCATTTACGATTCGAGGGCCGAATGTCGAACCACCTCTCGCAACACAAATGTAACGCGAGGTACTTGCATTTCGAAGCTTATTGGATCAACGACCAATTCGATATCGAGAATATTATGGACGCACCGTCGGTGGAACACCGATATCGAGGTCCCTTCGATTCGAAAAAGAGGAGGAAACGATAATTTAGCTGCGCGTGGTCCGGCTAACTCGGACGTATCGGATGAACTTGTCCCAGCGGAGAACGTCTAAGCACTCGTACCACGCGCACCAGCCTCGGACTGCCCATAGGAACAACCTGTTGTTGGGCCCGCTCGCCCTTTCGTGTTTCTACAAACCTTCTTTCGAGATATTCGGACTGTTCCACGAGAACAGGACCGGTCAATGGAATTAGCAAAGTCGTGAATTCGATAAACTTTCAACGAACGCGAGCAAAGTTCTCGGCTGAATTATAGCTAACATTTGGCTAAACGTTAACGATAGAATGATTAACCCAGGAACGACACGCTGCCTTCTTTCAACTATCGCGTGTATCTATAGAGAAGCCTGTACGTGCTACCTCTTAGTCGTACAGAGAGAATTTAACGTTCCGTTCGTTTAGACAGATAGCAGAGGAAAGTAAAAAGACAAAACAATTAACTAACATTTATTGGCATTTGTACGTTTTTCTACAGACACGACGTTGCGACGCCATCCGCAATTATTTTCCAATTATTTTCCGATATATCATAATTAAAATCGCTTTCTAAAATTCTACGTCCTATGTCGGGGTCATAAAAGACCAGCGTGACATTCTAACGTCAACACTTCTACGTCCAACGAACGTCGAAATATCATTCCGACCTCGCTTTCCCTCAAAATATCCCACTGTTTTTTAGCCTACCAAAAAACGCGATAGAAACGCGATAAAAAGATGGAAAAGATGTAACAATCGGAAATAGTACTCACTTCCGGCCGCTGTCGAGGAACCTGTCGAACTCGACGGACATTTTGCAGCAGAGGGCCCGCCTGTTGTGCGAGGACGAGCACTTGGTGTTGATCATGTGGCCGTCTGCAATCAAACAGGGACACCAAGGTTCAGCGAGGGATAGTAGTGGGCGATGTAATTAATTAAGAGGTTAATAATCATCCTCGTCGGTACAGAGGCTTAATTAATTCGGCTCGATCCTCGTCGCTCGTTTCTCTTCTCCTTCATCGGGCGTGCTTTCGAGGGCACACCTCGATCATCGTGATACACGTCGTTCCACCTTCCAACCACGGACGCTCCCACGATACGCGAGTATTTCAATTACGCTCCGCCAACAATACGCGACAATTAACCGTTCGAACCGCTCGCCGTAATTACACGGCCGCTTAATAATCGCGCAGAGGTCGGCGAAGAATAACTTGCAGGGATAAGATAAGAGAAAAAGGTCGCAGGTTTTACGGCCGGTTTCATCCTGGATCTCGGATGATTAATACTCGGTAACAACGACGCTGATTCGATGATCGAACGCTTGCATAATAATTTGCTATCTATTAGCGGCCGCTCGTACTGTTAGCAAATCGACGAGTTACCAGTTGTAGGCTTCTTTTCGTGTCTACTTTTATTTTTCCTTTTTTGTAGATTTATCACAAATAGGATAATTAGCTTGACTCGTAGCTTGTACAATTTACGCGCGAAACGCGACGTTGTTGCTATCGCGAATTTATCGATACCGATATAACTTTCGATTTGCAACTTGTAAAACTTCGTTGTGCTAATTAGACGCGGGAATGTAATAATTACGCGCGCGCGGGAAATTTCCAGTTACGAAACGTTAGTATCTCGCTTGTTTGTTTCTTTTATTTACTTAAACGAGTTTGCCTTTTTCTTTCATTTGCATTATACTTACACTTATTACTTACACAAGGTGACGTCAGGTGCATACGAGCATACAAACATTCGTGCGATACAAGTATCGATGAATAAAATACGAGTAGAAAATATAAAAAGATATAAACGGGCTGTATTTTGCATCGTATTATGCATATTGGGTCATGTACGTAATTTTGCATATTCCTTCCAAATATCCAAAGATTCCTCCAATAGAACAAAATCGATCGTACGTAATTCAATAGAATAATACGAAAGAAAAAGCGACATCGTGCATCTATTATTTCCTTGCGAAACGAAAGAAACTTTTAGGCCAATCTAACAGATCATACGCCAATAGTATTAGTAAAAATATGAACTTTTACGTACGTACGCAATCTGTAATAGTAATGCTCCATGAACTTACGACAATTTCGAAAATTTCCTCGTAGGAAATAAAAAGAAGCAAAAAGTATGCAAAAATATTTCCTCTTGGAAATGTCTTGGAAACTGAGAAGAATTCGGAGCAACGTAGCTTCACGTGTTCCCCTGCGGCGAAACTGACGCATCAGTTGGCCGCGTGGGTGGACGCAGCCAACAACAGGGAGGATAATACCGGGCACGGAAGGACTTAAGGAGGAGGGGATGAGCACGCGAGCCCTCGGGCACCGTCCGACATTTGACCTCACCACGCGCTCTGCACCGGTTTGCACCTCCACCACGGGCCCCTTTCTACCTGCCTCGCGTAATCCACCCTTGTTCCTTCGTCCGCCGAGATTACCGCCATATTCACGAACCGACGGAATTGGATCAGTGGAGCAAAAAATCACGTTCCTTCTCCCCCTCCTTATTTCGTATTTCCAGTGAACATTTTTCATATTCGCGAAAATACAAAATACGTTACACGCGTTACGCGTGTAACCTCGTAATCTACTCTGCAACAGCTTGGACGAAGCTCGTTGTTAATTTAGCGGCTCTACAAATTGAACACTCGCGAACTATGCGAAGAAACATATCGGGAAAATACTACTACATTGACGAACTGGCGCTTTCAAAGACCTTTAAATCGTAGCAAAACAACAACGTAAAGTCAGTGGTTCGTGTAACAAAAGTTTACCTATTGCTTCTCGCTGTATATGGCTTTTTGCTCGGTTGATGCGAGCTCACGTTCGTACAAGATGATCGCGAGAAACAGTTGCTTCTAAGCACCGTGATAATGTCGCAAACTCGTATCGACCGCGAGCCACCACAGCGTGTCACGTAACCCGTGCCCCTACTGTTTACATCTTAATGTCAGACGTTACTTATAGCTGAGCTAAAGTTCGGTTAATCAGCCGCTATTAAAATTTCGTTCGCGAAAACCAAGTTTGCGGAAACTGTATTCCCATAAGTTTTTCTCGCTTCTTGCGAGAGATTTACGATTGTAAATTCGACGAGAGAAATATCCTGCTTTTGTACTCGTGTTCGATGGAAGAATTCCGTTTAGAAGTTGGAATTAGTTTTCGTTAGAAGTTAAGACTTTCGCGCGTGGCCGAGATGTCGGGTCGAATGAAGGCGATCGATCGATCTGTCCCCTCGGAAACCGGTCGCAGAATCTGCTGCAAGGTGGAATCTGGTTCGGCCTGATCGACACGCGGCGCCGCTTCTCCTTCTTTGATCAACGCGTGATTATCTAACGACGAGACTGCCACATCGATCGAAGAAGTTGTCATCGTACGCCACTCTTTACCCTTGAAACGTCCGTTTCAAATCGCAGTAAGAAAATATCCAAATTCTTTGGATCTCGATGAATCCCTTCGACGAAGACGAAGAAGATTCGTGCGTCGACTCCAATACGTTCCAGGATCGATAGAATTCTTCAAAATTCCAAAATAATTTCTTCAAAAATTCCCTCGACGGAGAAGACTCGAGTACGATGACTCCGACATTTGTCATCGTCTTTGGACGATGCTTGGATCTTCGGATCTCCGAAATTCTACGAAATTCCAAAACTGCTCTTTGAAATATCTGCTCGACGGAGAAGACTCGAGTACATCGACTCCAAAATTGTTCATCGTGCAAAGATCTTCGTGAAATTGTAGGAAATTCCAACGCTACTCTTTAACGTATTTCCTCGAGAAGGAAATTCGAGTACATCGACTCCACAATTTGTCATCGTCTTTGGACGATGCTTGGATCTTCGGATCTCCGAAATTCTACGAAATTCCAAAACTGCTCTTTGAAATATCTGCTCGACGGAGAAGACTCGAGTACATCGACTCCAAAATTGTTCATCGTGCAAAGATCTTCGTGAAATTGTAGGAAATTCCAACGCTACTCTTTAACGTATTTCCTCGAGAAGGAAATTCGAGTACATCGACTCCACAATTTGTCATCGTCTTTGGACGATGCTTGGATCTTCGGATCTCCGAAATTCTACGAAATTCCAAAACTGCTCTTTGAAATATCTGCTCGACGGAGAAGACTCGAGTACATCGACTCCAAAATTGTTCATCGTGCAAAGATCTTCGTGAAATTGTAGGAAATTCCAACGCTACTCTTTAACGTATTTCCTCGAGAAGGAAATTCGAGTACATCGACTCCACAATTTGTCATCGTCTTTGGACGATGCTTGGATCTTCGGATCTCCGAAATTCTACGAAATTCCAAAACTGCTCTTTGAAATATCTGCTCGACGGAGAAGACTCGAGTACATCGACTCCAAAATTGTTCATCGTGCAAAGATCTTCGTGAAATTGTAGGAAATTCCAACGCTACTCTTTAACGTATTTCCTCGAGAAGGAAATTCGAGTACATCGACTCCACAATTTGTCATCGTCTTTGGACGATGCTTGGATCTTCGGATCTCCGAAATTCTACGAAATTCCAAAACTGCTCTTTGAAATATCTGCTCGACGGAGAAGACTCGAGTACATCGACTCCAAAATTGTTCATCGTGCAAAGATCTTCGTGAAATTGTAGGAAATTCCAACGCTACTCTTTAACGTATTTCCTCGAGAAGGAAATTCGAGTACATCGACTCCACAATTTGTCATCGTCTTTGGACGATGCTTGGATCTTCGGATCTCCGAAATTCTACGAAATTCCAAAACTGCTCTTTGAAATATCTGCTCGACGGAGAAGACTCGAGTACATCGACTCCAAAATTGTTCATCGTGCAAAGATCTTCGTGAAATTGTAGGAAATTCCAACGCTACTCTTTAACGTATTTCCTCGAGAAGGAAATTCGAGTACATCGACTCCACAATTTGTCATCGTCTTTGGACGATGCTTGGATCTTCGGATCTCCGAAATTCTACGAAATTCCAAAACTGCTCTTTGAAATATCTGCTCGACGGAGAAGACTCGAGTACATCGACTCCAAAATTGTTCATCGTGCAAAGATCTTCGTGAAATTGTAGGAAATTCCAACGCTACTCTTTAACATACTTCCTCGAGAAGGAGATTCGAGTACATCGATTCCAAAATTTGTCCCAACATCTTCGCCAAGTTCTTCGAAACTACAAAACGCCTGCGTAACGAATCCCCGCGAGAAGATTCCGAAGATCGACTCGAAAGTGTGTCGCGATCCTCGCTCGATTCTTCGAAATACCAATACGAAATCCTTTGATAAAGCGACTCGGAGGAGAATGGCAACTAAATTCCATTTCCATTGGATTCGATCGAATCCAGCAGGTGGTCGATCAACGCGATCCCTTCCCCCTTAAATCAGTCCGGGAGCATCTCATGCCAGTCCAATTACGCCGGTTCGTCGGATTAATCCCGCGGCTTGCCAGATAACGATACACGCGTGTCGTCCACGATCCACAGCCATTAAAACATCGAACCCACGTTGAGTGGACAGTCGTTGCGAGGCGGTGTGTTTCGGTTGGCGACCATTAACCGGGCACGACGAGCGAACTTTTGAAATGATTGACGAGCACGGGTCCGCGAGCGAGCCAGCTCCTACACGCTCGTTCGTTCCGCGCCGGCAATTATCGCGTAAACGAGGCCAACCATTAAGCCCGGCCGTAATTATCCGTGCCTCGTATTACAACAGAAATAAACGCTCCTATTCGGTTCTTCTTTCTTTTTCTTTCTTCTTCGTTCTTTTCTATTTATCCGCTCCCTCGTTTATCCTTTCTCCTCCGCTACGTTCCTTTCCCCTCTTTTTTTTCTTTTTTTTTTCATACATATGATATAATGAAATAAAACTGTCCGACTGTACGATCCTTGATATATTAGGATACCAGGGTCGTACGAATAAAATTATAGTTTGGTTGGACAGAACGATGATAGGGATTATTGGCTAGGAGGAGATCGACAAAGTCGAGCCTCGAATTTAGTCGCTGCGAGAAGCGACTTTTTCGGGCTTAATTACTTGCTTAATTAATGAAAGTGCCGAGAGGAATTGCGTGACGAGATACGGCGGTAGCTTCGTAGGTGTTTTAATCTTTGTTATTACGTAGAATCAGGAAGTTTGTGCCTGTATTTTAATCGGCACGTAGTTATCCCACGCGTTACTGTTTCACGATGTTCCAAAATGTACAGGGTATCTCGTCGTTGGTTCCAAATTTTCTAATTGCTCCGAAGTTTCTATCGACGCTGTTCCCCAGCTAAACTCCTCAACCAGTTAGCTGTTACGACCTCTTTGAAATGCGTGCAAAAAACGTTTGGCAAAAAGTAAGCGATGACGAGTATACTCGTCGGGCACGGAGTACGCGTGACTCTTACGATATAGAATTAAGTTACAACGAAATAACCGTTTTATTTTTGGATTTTATTACTGACAGGGCTCGTGGTAACGCAAAATAGTGGCATTTCCTCGCGACGAGTATACCCGTCAAAAACAGCTGACTGGTTAATTCACGCGCTCTAAAGCAGCAACTACGACACTGTATGAAACTCTTTACACTCGACTGTTCCCTTCGAGAAGACACTGATCACGGATTACTGTCAATTACGTAACACAAAATTACACGAGCTGCAAATTTCTTACAAACGCGCGTTTCCTTCGAATTTCGCTTTCGCATCGTATAAAGAAACAAATAAGAAAAGGAAGAACATGGCCAGCTACGTCGAGCGCAAAGGACTAAACATACTTTTAGGAAATATTCCCACCTATTTTAGATTTTCAACTTCCACGACGACTAGGCTTTTCCATCGTGCCGTTGGTATTAAGGGGAGGGCTAAGGTTAATTCGATTTCAGATGATCCAGCACCAAATTATCAAGGGCACCGCAGTTCTACCTTTTTTCCGAAGAGACACGTCCGAATAATCGCTGCCATTGCCGTATTTTTTAATATTTCTCCGTGAAAATTTTATACTATATTCTTCGAATGTCATACTTTAATGTACTATCGGTTTTAACAAAGAGATTTTAACCGTGTCGTCACAAATAATTCACAAAAACATGCCTTATTTTTGTACGAATTAACCTTAGCCCCTCCTTAATTGCCCTTTGTCCAGGTTTTCTCGCGTCTGTCCCGAGGAAGCAAACCGGAACGTTCGCTAAACACGACCGAAAGTCGAAAAGTCAGAAACGTGTGCCATTTCTACGTATCATTCGAAGATGGTATCCCACTGGGGGTAGCCATCCACATGTTATATTATTATACCACTAAGCTATAATATTTTACGGAATGTCCTACTGGACAAATTGTAAAATGTAAATAAATAAGTAAAAAAAAAAATTTCTACGTATCGTCACACGGAGATCGAAGATCGAGCGTTGTTTCTCGCTCGTGGATTTTACTGGCTCGCGGACTTTTCCTCGAGTTCTCCACGTTCGAAAACGCAGTAATCAAATTCGAGGAACAGCAAGACGAAACAAGATCGGCGAGTAAAATATCAATGGGAAGAGTAGAAGGTAAACGAGTACAAAGTATACTCACTGGTCTGATTCTGAAAGTAGGGATCGTCCCGGTCGGTGAAGAACCAAGTCTGAAATGAGAAATAAAGAAAGGTTAAACCGAGAGTACTCGACGACCGGGTAAGAGCTACTTCTACGCCGGTTTTGACTCTAACGATCGACGTGTCGGTCACGTACGCAGACGCCATTGTTTACCGCGGCTAACACGCGCCACGTACCGATCATAAATTTCGATTTCTTCCGTTGCTTCGAGCTTGCATCGCTCCATCTACGTCCACCGAGCTCGATAAATCGCTCTCGCGAGTTTCACCCTCGATCGCCGCTGGGAAAATAAAGTTCTTCTTTTTCCTTATTTTCTCTCCCTTTTTTTCTTTATTTTTGTTATTTTTGTAGGGACAAGCAACGGATTAAGATAGTTGTCAACAGATTTTTATCTGTACTTAATCGCCAATAAATTATACGCATTCGTACGTGGTAAATTACAGACCGTTCATACATCTGTAATTATGGAGAATAAGATATCGTTGAATTGAAGCTATTCGAACACGCTGGAGTAAATTTCGTAGAATTACAGAGATTAATACAGCGACTATACAATGAATTGACACACGTTTTCCATTAAAGAATTTTTTCTCAGATTATACATTGAAAATTCATAGCGTATCAAGTTTTTGTTGCCCCGCACCAAAGTACTACCGAACGATACGGAATTTAATATGCTTGAACCTAATTAATTAGTACGTAGATGATACAACAGATACAATGACGCGTCTTTCTTACTTTTTTCAACCACTCTATATCGTAAAGATATTAGAGAGAATTTTGAAGTTGTTCAAAGCCAATGTCCGTGCTGTTCAAAACTACCAAACTTTCAGAACGTCTAGCAAAATTATAGTCTACTTATGGCTGTCTCTAAGTTATACAGTTTTTCGAAAATCCAAAAATCTACCGATCTTCTCCGTAAGAGTAGAAATCCAAAGAGAAATCGCAGCAAAACGAGATTTTCATTCTATCGTTAGATTTTCAGTCCATTGGTCCATCCACTGATCACGTTGATCGATGTACGCTTTCGTATCGATCGTATCGTCGATAATTCGCCAAAAAATTCGACGAGACAGTTGACACTGCGAGCGACCAGCAAGATCGAGAGAGAACACCTTAGGAATTGGGAGCTCCGGGTGGTTGGTCGGTGTCATCTGCATGAGAGTAGAGCGACGACGTTGAAGATTGGTGCAGTGCACGTGTTAAAGCAGTCGCCTATTTTTAGTTGGCGAGTTCCCTTCAGGAAGTGAGCGTCGACGGAACGAGGGGTAACGCTGCCGTACCAGACGTCACGAGCATTGTCTCGAGGATTTTCACGTGGCGGGATGCGCTTTCGAACCCGAGGAAACACGGATCCCTGCCACTTGTGCGCGGCAAAAGAGAAAGAACGTGGGAGAAACGCTCGTTCCGATGTAATAGTCGTCGGAAACGAGTAGAAAGTGGCGAACTCGTATCAAAGCGGTCTCTAAGCGTCCGGAAGAAACGCGATAAACCAATTCGAGCAGATTTCTCGCGACGTTTTTTCGGTCAGACTATAGAGACAGACTTCGGTCAATGCACGAAAGAAATTTCGAATCTTAGCTGCAAGTTCATCTTTGTTCGTTTTATTCGCCGAATTATAGTCTAACTGTAAATATATTTCATCGTGGTGTTCGCAGAACTAACTCGAGAGACATAGACAGGAAATGAAATACTCTGGGAGATCGTTCGAGCTGTTTGAGAGAATTCGTTATTGAAGAAGGTTTTTTTTTTTTATTTAGTTGTTTACATTTACAATTTGTCCGATTTGGAATTTTTTGAAGAAAGTGAACAGTTTTTGAAGAAAAGATTCGTAGAGTCGTGGATGGCGAGGAGTCTAACTATATTTCGATGTTTGTGAATTTTCGCTGAAAATTTTCATGATATACAGGGTGGCGTGATTAAGTGGAGTCGCCTAGATATCTACCTTGTTTATTGTTGCACGAAAAGCTTCTCAGAACAAAGTTACGCTACTTCAAGCGTCTTTGAACGCAAATATCTCTTGCACGAAGAATTAAGAAAACGCATAAATTTGTGGATATATAGAAATATAGAGTTCCATCTAAAAATGTAACAAGAATTCTGGAATACTCGTAAAAGAGAACGAACTTGAGAAAAAGTTCCTTCCACCGTTGCCTGTGTCCCCGACGAGCGTAGCTTTGTCACTGGAAAGTTTCTCTAGATGACAATAAATTTTTTTTGTTTAATATTTATTAAAATTACAAACAATTCTCGCGACAATAAATAAAGCAGATATTTGCATGATTCCAATTATCCAACACGGTGACACAAACGGGTATGATATAATTGCTGCTGAAAGAAATAAGAAGAAAGTATGGAATAAAATTTCTCAACACTTAATTTTCGAGAAAAGCGAGTTTCAAAATTCGTCGAGTACGCTGCAACTTGAGTAATTCCCACCTAAGTATGAGCGAACGATCGGCAGGAAGTAATAGCACGCGTAAAAAGAAATAGAAATTGCGAAACAAAATTCGTCCGTTTAAGGCTTCGTTTCGAAGAAGACGAAGTTTGAACGCGTTTAGCTTTAGGAATCGACCTAACACAGGCGCGTGATGAATTTTCAAAGCGTTCCTATCGAAGAATTTTAATTCCACGTTTTCGACTCGTTATACAAAATTGTATAAAAAATGTCTTCTATAAGAAATCGTTTCAGATTTATTCGTTACTCGGCCGTATTCTATTTTCTAGCTTCTCGCGTATTCGTGCTTCGAACGGCGAACGTATTTCGAGCGTGACGAATCGCCGTTTCTCCCGATTTCCCAAAACTTGAATAGCGGCTTAGCAAACAGCGGTTGTCGGATGGCTATCCATGGAACGTTATCTTACGACCGACGATAAGAATTGTCGCGACAAGACGGATGTCCTGTATAACCGACAATTAAACCGTGGCGAAGGGAGAGACGGAACAAACGCGGAGGAAGAGGAAAAAAAAAAAGAAAAAGGTGAGACGAATAAGCTCCCGAGTCAGCGTTCGCAGAAGGAACACGAATATCCGGCAAACAAGAGACATCGCACGCCAGGGAAAAAGAGGGACGAGAGACGCGATGACGTCAGTGGCACCGGCGTCGCGTTACATCGACGTAATTACGTTAATCCACGCACGTACGTCGCGGCTAAAACGGGCATCGTCGTTAAGCCGATATCTCCATTGCACTGGGACCCAATTCTCTCTCTCTCTCTCTCTCTCTCTCTTTCTCTCTTGCTCGAGAATAATTTAAACGTTTTGGTTGCAGTCTCCGTTTCCAACTCTATGGGCGACGCGACGTTAGGAATTAAATAGGCTGTTCTCGACTCCAACTAGGAGAGTACTCGCGTCCTGTTTTGTAATAAACTGGAAGATGGAGAAATCCGAGCTGTAAATCGTCTGGGAAGGAATATAACGAAGTATGTGGATCGAGATCAGTGGATCGTTTGAGAAAGTCCGAACCTAATATACCTAATAACAATGTAATATTTAATCTATAAACGTAGGAATTAGGTAGTCGAGGAACTAAACGTACACGAGTGTGTCACGTAAACTTAGGGGTTGGTCGATGAAATAAAAATAGCTGAGTCGTAACACAACTATCGTCTTTATTTCACAGCACAGGTTTACACAGGTCGGAGAGACGTTCACTGTTCGATGGTTTTGTCTATTAATAAACAGACAACAGAAATAATAAACTTAAAAAGTTTAGGTTTATGGTGGGTCCCTGGAATAATTGAGGGCACGGACTGAAGACCTGCACACATCCTGCCTCTAATATGAATTGACGTTACAAGTAGGAGCGTGAAAGTAGGAGCTCGAAAATCTGAATACTCGGACAGGCGAGTGTGTAAATGCTTACGTACTTGAGCATTTAAGTACGTACTCGAACTTAGTAACCAGTGGAATATACCTGAGCTGTACGTGCGTTCCAAACTCCGAGAGGAATGAATATCGAACAGCTAGAAACGCACGGTACACGCGCAAACACCAAACACGAAAATATTATTTCGATACTCTGAAAATATCGACGGACAAGTAAACTACAGTGTTTTCGATGCTCGACGTCCGAACGCTCTGAAAAGTCGCAACCGAGGTCCGATTAATTCCAAGGAGAAGTCCTCGGTGATCATCGATATAAAAAAAGAAGGCAGACGGGAAGAAGAAATAAAATGAAAAGGAGAAATTAACTCGAGAGATACTCTGTAGTTTACTGGCGTAAAATTACAGCGATGCGGTCGGTGAGCGTTTCCAGATAAATAAACGACGTAATTGATCAATTATCCGCTGACGTTTCAGAGGCGAAACGGCTGTTGTAAATTGAAGGGTTGCGATATAGGGCGAGTCACTGAAACTAATGACAAACGCTTCGACGGCCGATCGATCGGTATCCCCGGCAGAAATCCTCCTTCTCCGAATGAAATCCTCCGATGAACACCTACAGCATGTTACTTAACAGCGAGCCAATCGAGCACGATGACTCTCGAATTGCAACACGTGAATTCCAGTCGAATACAAAGTGCAACACGAGCAATTTGTCGAAATCGAAAGTATCCCTGTAGCACCGATACGATGGCAAATTCGAACACTGTCATCCGAACGTTGTCCGTGGTTCTTCTTTTACGGTTCTTCCTCGACCGTTAATAGTAACGTTTTTACCATCTATGCAAATGTATGTAATATCTATGCAAATACATTCGCGGTCTTGAGACTTTGCGATGTACAGTGACTCGCGAAAATAGCTGAACATTTAGCGTAGGAAATTACGGTATATAAATAATTGTGCGTTGTACGAAGCTCTTTGGAATTTCATTAGCAATGCGACGAGTCACGACGATTATATTGGTAATATTTGGAACCAATCTGGAAATGTACATAGAAGTTACGTTTATTACAAACATACGCTTGATTATTAGTACAGTTGAAAATTAGTACAGGATATAAATAATGGTCTTCGATATGTATATGTCGGAGAAGAGTCAGAAACAGGGTTGTGGGCGTTTGATAGACTTCCCTTGGAGTTGGCCATCGTTGTGTTATAACGAAGATACGGCCTGATACTACGAGTATGAACACTACCGATTCGACGATCGACAGCGGTGGTTGGGCACTTGCGACGCTAGTGACGTTGGTCTTAGGTTCGATAACGAATCCGCGGTCAACGGGATGACAGATATACTTGCTCTAACTCAAACGTGTAATACTCGCAGATCGTACGGCGCTACTCTCTTCGTCGATGAGATCGCAAGAAAGAATGAATTTTCGTCCCAATGATGCCACGGAGGAAAACTATGATGGGGTGTGTCCAAAGACACGAGATCATCGGATTCGTCGAGTATAGCCCTCGTTCCGAAAGTAAGGGAAATTGACGTCGCTGTCAATTGGTCAATTTGGGACAAAGACTGCCTGTCCGTTTGAAGAACCTTAATTACCAAAAAAACCCAGGTTTCATAGCGGGTCCTCAGGCTAACTGAACTTGTACTGTGTAAGTGCCTCAATATCTGGTATTCATTGTCCGAAGGAACCGTTGGAATGTTTTACCGTCAGGTACCTCTATGGGTATTTCTTTTAACGAGAGTCATACTATCACTCCACACCTTTGTTAGACGAAGCACCCGTCCCGTTGACCGCGGCTACGTTCGGCGACTGATGGTCGCCTTGAGCCCAAGTTTATTGTCAGAAATCGCAAACAAATGCAGTTGGGCAGAACGACGGCAAATTGTTTAATTACAACTGTAAACTTTAATTACAATTTTACGGATTTTCCCGAAGTTCCAGAGGGAAGGCTCCGATGTCCTTTCATCTCCGACATATATAATTAATATCGAAAATCGTTGTGCTATATTCTGGCTTGCTGATATACCTAGTGGATAATCGACTGTTCAAATACTTTGACGTTCGTGGAGAGTGTGCTTGGAATAAATATTTTCTAATTTCTATGTCCATGAATTTCCAGATTCTCAAACTTTGCCAATATAGTCGCGACTACAGTGTCTCGTAACAACGTTGTTAATGAAATTTCGAAACATTTCATACAATACACAAGATATATTCGTAGAAAGATTTCTATAAAAACATTCAAATATTTTCTTCAATTACTGTATTTAGTCGCATAGACGTAAAAACTAACAGCTGTAAAGACAGCAGTGTCGCGTAAACTTGGGGGTTGTTTGATGAAAATAAAATAGCTGAGTCGTAACACAACTATCGTCTGTATTTCACAGCACAGGTTTACACAGATCGGAGAGATGCTCACTGTTCAATGGTTTTAATTAACAACGCGGATTAGCTATTCGCACCTTCCGTTAGGAAAAGTAAAGGTAACGATCCACGATATCAATTGGTTATAGGTCGTGTTAATAAACGAAGATAGGAGGAGAAAGCCTCCTACCAACGCGGCTAGTAGGTAATATTGTTTGTGGGAAAAACCAGCTTTTTCGTTAGTCGAATATTGGGTTTTTCCCATTAAGTAACTACCTGCTTTTCCCGTAATTAATAATAAATTAACAAACAGATAACAGAAATAATAAACTTAAAAAGTTTAGGTTTATGGTGGGTCCCTGGGGTAATTGAGGGTATGGACTGAAGACCTGCACAAATTCTGCCTCTAATAAGAATTGACGTTACAGCAGCAACGTTAACAACCCGAAGAGAATTTCATTTACATTTAAGACAAGCCTACCAACAGGTCAACAATACAACCAGACCTGGCAGTGGTCCGTTTTTCTACCTAACTCTCTTTTCTTCGTAAATCATTTCTCTCCCGAGGATTCGTAAGAAAGTGAAATGAAAGGAGCATCAGGATATTTTCCAATATTCCTTCTTGCCTGCTCATAGACCATGCAACGTCGTTGGAAATAAGGATAGAACGTAAAACGAGAAATCTGCTTTTGTTTCTGGAAGATCGCCGTAGGTACTTGCACATATTAACTCGATTTCACACTGAGATCTTTGACACCATCGAGTGCTTTTGCTAAGATATTTTTAAATATCCGAAGGTCTAGAATATCGCTTATATTCTTATTTCTAAACTGCGAGTGTTCATTCAAATTCGCATCTCTACGAGGACAACTAAAAAGAATAGAATGTAGGCAGAGACTTCTTTCATCCGGTAAATATTACAACAAGCATACTGCTTCCATGTATATCTGGTGCATAGTGAGTGAGTAAAAACTACCGTTTGAAATAACTCATTGTCCATTGTGACTTTATGAAGCGAAATTTATCGCGTTTAAGCAGTCTACTGTGATATGAGTACACTTAAATCTTCCAATAGTTTATATTTTTTGAGATATCAAGGTGACTGAGAGTTTTAACGACCACCGTACACTCTTAATAACATCAGTCGATTCAATTGGATATTCTCTACAAAAAAGAATCGATATATTTATAGTGAAAAAAATCTTTGGTTTAGCGGATATTTTAATACTTCAATTTGCGAATGTACGAAAGACAAAGCAACGTGAAACATAGGAATACCGCCTCGCGTCTTTGCTTCTCTTTCATACATTAAATTTGACAATTTAAAATCAAAATAGCTGCTAAACCGATCGTTTTTCATTGGAATGTCCAGTTGGATCGACTAATGTTATAAAAAATATACCTATAATACAAGACATTAAAAAATCAACATGTACTCGTCTGACCAGGCTGCTTAAATACAATGACTGTAAACATTTTTCGATGATAATTATTGGTATAATAATAATAATGGTAATTTTTATTGACTCACCTGTATATATTTGCACGTATGTTCTATGGATTTCTGAACCTTCAAATATTTTGTGAATACATAAAAATGTACGGTCTCGTTATCTCATATCCTGACCTATCCTATTGTATTATAGCGTAACCAAATACCGTACTGAAACACCCAACGTCCTTCGGCAAGTCGATAGTTACTACGATAATTAATCGCTTTCATCGACCACCCTTGACGAGGTTATAACGATATATTGCCCCAAGACGTAATTCAATCAAATTTCTTTTACTCTGAATCCATTGAACAAAACGAGCTAAGCGCTTCAAAGAACACCGACGACAATGTAACGGGCAAGTGTTACGTCGCCTCGAGAACACGAGTGCTCCGAAACGAGCTTTTAGGTCCCTGGATAATTCGTTCGAACGCGCGATTCCTGAGAATCTCGATTATTAGTCGGCCCTCCGGCGACTTTTCTGGGCTGCTAGTTCCAGGAAGTGTCGCCGGTAGCGATGGGAGCGGAAGGCCGAGCAACAGGGGAGAAGTACAATGCATGCAATTAGTCGTGGCAAGATAATATCGCGAAAGTTGAGAGTTCCTAGACCTTCTTACCACCTACCTACACTTTTAAGCCGGCAATCCACCGGTAAACTACGCTACACTGTGCCGTGCTAAATTTGAAATTATTTGCTTCGGTATGCACGTACATAGAGTGGCAAAGGTTCATGAAGCAAGAGATACACAGGGACTCTAGAATTCTGCAAAACGGATTTATATTTAATAAGAGCAATGAACGAACGTAGTACGAAGGTTACTAAAATTCATAAACGAAACCTACCACAGTTGTGCTATTAAATTAGCTATCCGGTGGATATTTAAGGAGGTTTTAGAGTCAACGAAGACCGGAAAGAGATGGACGAAACGAATAAAACGGATGGACAGACGGATTTGGAAGAGACGAATACATAAAATTCGTTTGTTTCAAGAACATGAGCTGAACACACAAATAAAACGCTGTACGCGGTAAGTGGAAGTTGGTGGAGAACAAGAGACGCAGAAAGAAGGAAAGGGTAAAACGGAAATACAGAGAATCCCGTTCCCACGACGAGTGCTCATCAAGCTGAAAACCGCCGTGTATATGCTCGACCGAACAGTAACAAATCGCACACAGAGTGGCCTCTATTCTAAACAGTCATCCAGTCTAACGAATTAATACTTTCTTTTCGAGAATCAATTAATACTCTTCGCTGAAAACTACTTCAAGTATTGTTCGTTAATACATAGAGATAAAAATGAGCTATTACATGGTACACGATTCAATTACAACGGTCGAACAAAGTGTACATTCTAAAACTAATTGCTCGATCATTCGTTGCCAATTAGACGATAAGAAAACGAATTGGATAGAACAAAACGCAAGACAAACTAAACGATCCACTAATAGGATAAATTAATACTAACAGGTGATTTTTTAAGACTGCAGTATTACTTATAATCAGTGGCGGACTGGCCATCGAAGAGTTTTGGGAAATTTCCTGGACGGGCCGATAGAAGAAGCTCAACGAGTAGAATTTAATTAGGTAGAAATGAAAGGCCAATGATATCGGTAATATCTTGGTAAAAATTTACAAGAGTCTAATGTTACGTCTGTACAATATGCATACAATCGTATACACGTTTATAACTATTCGTTCATCAGCAGCACTCGTCTTTCTGAACACAATATAAAATCTCGTTGACTTTCTTCGCTGTTCGCATTTATAAATCTCTAAGAACGTTACGTTCTTCTATATTAACAAAAAGTAATTTCTACGCTTTTAACTTAGTTCTAAACATTTATACATCATACATGTATATATGTATGTATGTACATCTTTATCGATTTTCTACATAGATATACGTACGTCGAGTACGGCTGTATGCATGTAGTAAGTATAGCGCAATAGAATCTTATAAGAACATATTATATAATACGTAACATTACTTATATCTAGTATTATACCTAATCCAGTATCGCAATCTTACAAAATTACCATAGAGATGAACTATACAGATCTGATATACAACAATAAGCAGAATACAAATATCTCAACAGCGCAAACCACGACTTAGGAAAATATTCTGTAGACATGTAGAAGCATAGAGGCTTGAAAGGATTTGTCACGTACCTGATCCTTAGCGAATTGAAACCACGTGCTGATGATAGCTGGCAGACGGGAGTGATGGTAATGCTTGGTAGTTTTCACGCTGATGAACACGTCGTCGAGATTCGTGGTGAACGGTGCCATGGTCGCAGTCGCGATCGCAGGTGTCACCGAAGATTCCTCGTTGATCAGCATCCTCCTCGAAGCTGGCACTTCCACCAGTACGCTCCTACTGTTCACTTCCACCGTCATCTCGTCGACCCACTATGCAACAATGCCATACACACACATAAGTATAAAACCAACCGCGATACGCTCATAATGGATCGGTATTATTTTGTAAACATTGCACGCATAGAACGATAATCTGATCGAGAATTCTTGGAAAAGAAGCGAGCACGTGCACGCGAGCTCACGCAATGTTTACTCTCGCGACGTTTGCGACGAAACAAGTTCGAACTCGATTTACCGTTCGATTAACATAACTGGCTATCGAGAATAGCACTTCGAGAATAGAACAATTAACACGTCATTTGGAAGTAACATCTCTCTTTATTACTAAAGTCGATTAACCCCTTACCTTATGATCTTTTCTATTGATATAGCAGTTGCATAAAGTATTTGCACATAATCTTATTATCCAAAGAATTTTCTTTATCAGGTTCAACGTTTCATTTTTATAGTATATCAAATCTTTATCGTTTTATAAAAGTATCTACTACCGAATGATACGAAATTTGATATATTTGAAACTAATTAATTTTATACGTTGAACCGTACTTTATTTACTTCTATTTATATATTTATCTATCTACCTTATTCTATTGTTTTTATTCTTCGTTCCCTTTTCCTTGTTCCATTCTCCGTTAATGCTACTCATCTATTAATTATGCACTTATTTTGTTTAATGTTGTTGTACCAGAGGATTCTCACTCGTTGAATTAATAAATTACTAATGTAATTACTAATGTGCAAATACTTTTCCTATCCACCGTGGGTATTGCTATTAACCTTGATAATTTGTTTAACACTCTAAAGCGGAGTACTGAAATATTATATGCAATTTGTATTCACTAATCGATCAGTGATCTGAAATAAAGAGGTTAAAATTGCACTTTGGTAGTAAACGCCACGTCTTGTTATTGAGATTAAGAATAATCGCTAACATATGTAAAACAAATTAAAACGTTTACCTGACGGGGTGCAACAGCCTGATAAAGAAGAATGGTAGCATAAGCAGTGGCGAGAACAAGTGCCAACGCCTGGAGACCTCGTCTAGTCGGCAGGCTACGGGGCATTTTAGCACTTCCGGTGCCGGCGTATCCCGCGCCAATCACCGACAATCGAGCCTGTGGCCCACCGCCACCGAATTTCACCGACCGCCCCTCTTCCTCGTGATTTTCACGTTTTTCTCGAACTCCAACGATCAACGGCAACCACCTTGCATCGTTCCCCTCCTTCTGCCGCGTGAAAAATACGCCAGTCATAACATACAAAAGTAATCACGTTCCCGCGCGTCACTCCCGTGTTACTCTTTCAAAATATCGAATAAATCGTTCGCTTTTGATAATCAAATCTAGCCTACTTGTCGTACGAAACGATCGCGTCTGCGCATGACAATGAATAACGTAAACTGTAACTCGATTCACTGTAATACACGATCACGAATGTCCCATCGAAAGTTCCTTCTTGTCACTTTGTAAATTAACTGAAAAGATAACCTGCAAAATTTCGGTTATTCCGTTATATTTAATTATCGATGACACCACCAATGTCATCGTTCCGTTTCGCGTTAATTTGTTGTTGATTCGGTCAACGATTTATGAAAATCGATTAAAACTTCGAAATCGATATCTCTGTTTGAAGAATTATAGATTTCGATTGAACGATAATCTCGTGTTTCAAACAATTCGTCTTGCGAATCTATCATGAAAAACTATATAATACTTTTGTAAATTGATTATAATTGATTGTTTGTTTTTTTGTATCGTTGTACTATAAATAATTTCAGGACAACCTGTAGAAGAGCAGCGAGTGTTTGACAATCAAATGGTTGTCACACGGGAACGCTTTTGTGAAGCGGAGATATACGAAGAGTCACGAGGCGAACACGCACCAAAACGTAATACTGCACGGCGCGCGACAAGCCACCGACTGAACACATGGCCAGTCGTCGTGACTACGCTGTAAACATCGCCATAGCAGCCACTTGGCCGGCGTGGTGGGAGAGCGACCTGCAGAGTGGCACAATGTCTAGAACGAATGAGAAGGGGGGCGCGTTTTAAATAGAGCACCGCCTCTTCGTTGTACGTTGATCCGATTAATAACTTAATAAATTTCTATATCGATTAGAAATCAATAAACAATAAATGAAATAAGCAATTGTAAAAATTATTACCTTACTTTGCTTTCATTTTTTAATAAAAATAAACATTGTGTGTTAACTTCTGGTTTATAACTTAACTTGTTTATACAGTCTGCATTCTTGAATCTGGATCTTTTGTTTATAAAATACATTTTTTATACAGTTGTTTTATTTATGTGAATTGACTTTCGTTCATTGTTTCTTTCATATATCTTTTATATGTAGTGAAGATAAGGTATCGATTGCAAAATATTTGAAATATTATATACGTTATATAAATATGTTACTGTTATTTTGGATAAATTCATTCTAAAAATTTCAGAGGATGTGTGTTTACAGGTGTAAAGTTATTAATATGAGTATCGCAGGTCAGGTGTAGATTCCTTCGTAAAAGACTGCTTATATTTTTGTATTACAATATTTAATTATTAAGATCGTCAATATTTACATTTGTACATGATTCAATGCACTTTACAGTATAAGAAAAAAATTAAAACAGACAATCGTAAGTACTTCATCATGAGCGTCCATTCGAGCTATAGTTACATCTCCTGATCACAAATCGATAAAAATCGTCCATTTCAACTTCAAACATACGATCATCTTTCACTTTAACAAATGTCTTTTGTATCATCAAATTAGGATTTGTTACAAATTTTCTCTGCATTTGTAAATCAATATTCCTAATTGCGACAGAAGATACATTTCTATCCCAATGATTCCAAGCTTCTTCTCCTTTATTTTAAATAAATACATCTGACGCAATCGTCATAATAGCTGCCACTTTGCACTCTTTAAAACCCAACTGTATGTACGTTCATCGCACATCATTCACGTTGCTCTTCGACGTAAAAGAACTATACTATTGTACAACTTAATCGCAGGTCCGAGACGCAATCCCAATAGCGATATCAAATCCTCCTGAGTCAGCATTAAAAATGCTTCACCATCAATATTCTATAAACATTAAATACGAGATTAAACAGTTTGAATATAATAAATTGTATTACATTCCATTCTTTTTTTTTTAAATACTTACGTGCTGCCTAAAGATATTTGCTACTTCTTTACAATTAGGAAGGCTCTGTATAAATTTGATAACTTCTTCGTTCGACCACCTTCGAGGATTCGTGTTTTGTTTCGCTACTACCCTGTTTAAAGCATTGCTATGTTTCGCCCATATATGCGGCGAATCCGGTAACGGATTATATCCAGGATTGTAAACGGATTGGTACAATTCTGTACGTAATTGTTTATCAGGCATATTTGCAGCATAGGGTATAGTAGTTAGCGACGAGTCACCATATGAATTCGAAAGGGAATATAAAGGTTCTTCAGAAACCTGTCGTCTATAAAAGTATAAAAATATACAAGTTAGTTATAGATACATGTACGTTTATAAATGCAAGAAATATAGTCATGAGTGAACCTTTTCTTTCTCTTTCTTAAAAGTTCGTCATCATCCGTTTGTCCGTCACTGTGATGATGTTTCGATTTACTAGACCTGTAAATTATGAATTACTCATATACATAGCAATTACAACAATGTATAATATAATGCAGAATATTTGTATAGCTTACTTTTCCGAATTTTCTGATTTGTCATTCTTGTCAGAGAAATCTCCATCTTCTTGTTTAATGTCTTTCTCAGTCTTCATTAATCTTTCCTCCGAAAACAATGGCTTCTCCAATTTCTCAGACTTTTCCATTTTTATTTTGTCTGCTTTTTCTAATTTTGGTCTATCCTGTACATCATCTTCAAAGTCGCAAGTCTCGTGCTTCAGATTAAGTCTATCGGCTAATTGCCTAACTTTATGAAGATTCTGAGGTGAATACGGACATCCAGATGCAGAGTTATGCGTTGCATATTTAGGCCCTTTTACATGCCCTATTCCTTTACAGCCATATGTTCCACACTCAGGCCTGTCATTTAAGTTATCTGGAGCTATAGGAGACAGTAATATATATTTAGAGTAAGAATATAAAAACACGAGAGGTATAAAAATATTTAAAAAATTTTTACTTAATGGTGGTTCCAAAGGATGACCCGTTTTCATACACCAACCCATGGGATGTATGTCAGGGGAATCGTCGTCGACCCAATAAGCATGATTTTCTGGCCATCCATCGAATCGTATTTTTAGCCTGTAAAACAAAAATATATACATATACATATATAATTGTACTGCGCTCCACTTAATTTTAAGATAAAAATAAATATTTGTAATTTACATACATATGATCTTTTACGTCTTCAACTGTTGCTACCCTTATAAGTTGAGGCACGCGTTTATCAACCGCTTCTAATTTCATTCCACGCTTAAATCCGCAAGGTGGTCGTTGTTTAAAAGCTCTCGCTGGCGCGACCATGGAACGGCTTTCCCTAAGATACGCATCCCATGTGAAAGATTTAGGGTCTTTATAATCTGAAACAATAGATTCGAATTTTTACATGCATAGTTTTTTCCGGAAGAAGATACAAAAATATAAAAATCGAATACATATTATTTCGCTTACTATTTGGTGGCGTTAGACTATGACCATTATGATGACACCATCCCACTGGATGAATGTATGGAGAACTTGCATCCGCCCAATAATCATACACTTCATCCCAAGAATCAAAATGAACTAATATACGGGAATCCATTAGGCCTGCTATGCTTGCTACACAAACCAAAGAAGAATGCTTCCTATCTACCGCTTCTAATTTCATTCCTACGCGGAAACCAGTTGGACATACTGACTAAAATAGTAAGGTATATTGGTGAAGTTCATGAAATTAAAAAATAAATCGTTTGATTAAAAATTGATTGGCACTTACACTTTTATTTGAAAAAATATTTTTTGGCGTTGCAGTAGCTTTGCAAATTTTTAGATATGCGTTCCAATTAAAATTACTAGCTACGTAACCTTTTGGTGGGTCTAATCGATGTCCATTCTTTTCTGACCAGCCAACTGGGAAGATATCCATACTGTCTGCGTTTACCCAAAAATCGTAATTTTCTGCATATCCATCGAAATGCAAACGTATTCGATAACCTGGAATTATCCAAATAAATAAACTGAGTATGTTGTTATAGACTGAATATAAGAAGAAGAAAGTGAAATAACTTACCTACTACTTCAACAACCGTAAGAACACAATATCGTGATGGGTGTTCAGGATCTATTCCTTCTAATTTCATTCCAACTTTGAAATGATTTTTTGCATACGGGAAGGGGTCCTTGAATAATTTAACGGGTGCTGCTTTTGCTTTACAATGTTCAAGATACTTAGACCATGAAAATCCGAGTTTGCCTGTCTGCCAAGGATACTGAATACAGAGACACATTTATAAGCAGTATGTTTCAATGATTGTAAAAGGAAAATTTAGTCACAAGTACCTTCGATTCAGTGTTATCTCCTTGACTCTCTTCATCTATTCCTGTAATAGTATCCTTTGTATCCTCGTCTGTCTCAGATTTCACCTTCTCTTGTCCTTTGTCTTCAGATTTCTCTTCTATTTCTTTAGACTGTTGCTGTTCTTGAAGTAATCTTTTACGTTTCCGTTTCGCGCGTAGATCTCTGTCAATAAAATAAAAATAAACTTATAAAAAAAATATATATTTAATTAAATATTAGAAAACTTTATATCGAACAACATACTTCAAGTCTTTTTCTTTTCGCGACGGTGGCTGTTTCTTGGCTTCTATTATTTCCGTACATGATGGACCACACGATATCGGACTTTCAAATTCTGCAGCTAGTCCGTAACATCCACAGCCTTCACAATGGTACATTGTATCCGCCGAAACAGTCCTCGATTTTCTATCATCGGCTATAAAAATAAACTCGGTCACATTCGAATGAAATCTTCCTCCACTCTTTGAAAGAAAATATGCATATTCACATTGTTAATACTTACGTTTCTTTTCGTTGTTTATATTATTAACAGTTACAGGGGTAGACTTGGAAGAATTCTGTGTCGAACAAACATTCTCTTTGTCGCCAATGCAATCTTTACCTTGTTTGTTGTTTTCGTCTTCATCTACTACTTCCATAATACCAAATTCATTCATACAAAACTATGAAATATAATAAATTTATTCGCTATTTTATTAAACCATGACATCAAAAATTAATTTTCTAATGTTATATGGTCATACCTTTAATGTACTTCCTGGAAGAGTACCAACACCGTCCTTCCAATCTAAAACTTTCGCCGCATCGAAATTAGAATCGTTATGTGTTGTATTTAAATGATCTTTCAAGTCTTCATGATTACTTATATTAATCTTACTATCACTTTTATTGTCTGTTAATGATTCAATGCCACAGCTTGTGCGTGTTTTAATAATTTCGATTTTTATATCGTCATCGACATTAGTATTAGTAGTAAGTTTCACAGTTTTATCTTCACTAGGAACTACTTTAATCAATGTAATGTCATCATCATTTTGCACTTTCTTATCCTTATCTTGTTCTGATTCTGGACTACTTAGTGCATAGCTTACATCAACTATACTCTCTTGAGTAGACTTTGGAAGATTTTGTTTTTTCATTCGTTTTTCACTCGATCCTCTTAATATATTGCTTATCGTCTTTTTTCGCTTCTCAGGCATACCAGTGTCGTCTTTTTTCGGAATAGGGGTAATAACTGCGGAATCTGGATTTTCTGTAATTTTTATAC